AACTTTTAGCACATTCACTTTTCATTTATTATCATATAAATTAATATTTTCTTAGAAAACATACACGTTAAATAGGAATAAAGTAAAAAAAAAACTAAATTTTAAAATAAAATTAATAAGATTTAAGTTTTTTCTTACTTACCATAGATTACGTTAAAAATAACTCAAACAGAATTAATACCAAATAATTAAAAGGAATAAAGGGTGAAGAGAAGAGGCGGATTAGAGAAAGCGACAGCAGTTGACGTGGCAGTCGATTGGTGGTTGTGGTGGCATTTGTCAAGAAGAGAATTCCACCTCAATTTCGCTTGGGTTTTATGGGATGAGCATCCCCTTGAGGTAGTACAATGTTCCTTTCCTTCTTCCCGGTCTCCAGAATCCAGATCAAATCTCGCAACATCCTCTTTTAAAGCATTCTCATCAGCAGTAGTTACAGTTATTTCAGGTGGGATGAAGTTGTTTATATTTTATTCATTATGTATATATCTACATATTTTACTACTTTGAGTTTAGATTGCTTCGATGATTTTTTTTTTAATTGTTTTATCACGGGCGCTTAGAAAATTTCGCTGTCTTTTACGGAGATTATGCACAATGTTTTGATGTTCTCCTTAATGATTGATTCATTAGCAGATCACTTGCTTGAATTTAGTTTTAGGTATGAGTTCACCTTCAAGTACCAGCTCCTTTCTCTTCAACTATACTATTCGTTAAATTTAAATATGGGGTTTTTTAGTTAAAAAAACATATTTAGATCAACATCAGTTTCAACAAGTCACCAATAACATTAAAATCATTTTAAATTCTTTGCCATAGATCCACTATCTAGTTCGATTAAAATTTTGGGGGGGGGGGATCATGAGGTAAGAATGAGGTAAGGCATGGATGAATGTCCACGTTCAATCATTGTTGATGTTTTTTTTTTGGGGGGGGGGGGGGGAGAGAGATTGATTGGACATGATTTCTTCGATAACCAATAATCTTAATTTATCATGCTTAGCTTATTATACTACCTGCTGTTGATGTTGTTTGATTTTTATTTTAATTATAAATATAAAACCTCAATCTATTTTATCTCTCATATTTATGTATTTTTTTCTAGGGTAGTTCTTCTAATAATGGTAGTTCTAGTCAATACACTTAATTAGTAAGGATATTTTAGGAAAGATAACACCTAATTATAAAAGTAGTATTATTTTCTCGTCAAAAAACTCGTTATATTATTTAATTATTAGACCTTGTCGCAGCCTGGCCGTTGATAACGCATCACTCAGGCGTCATATATTTGAAGTTAGGTAGAGAACTTATTTAATCCCACTGATTTGATTTGAGTAACCTTAACCAAACCAAATTATGAAATCAACTGGACAAGATCAATTATGACATGTAAAAAAATATTTTGTTTTGTTTATTACTTCAATTTTAATCGATTTGACTTGGTTCAGTTTAATTTTAAGCATTAATAGTTTTTTTTTTGGGTGTTCGTCTTCGATATTTCCTTCCAAAATATACTTGCGAAACAGGATCTACGCAACAGCTTACCTAACTTAATTGTTTGAAAATAAACCTTCTATATTAATCGCCTCATGGTTGGAGGGAAAAATGTTTAATTATCCATAGTGTCGTAAAATTTTTTCACAAATGAATATAATTTTATCATATTTCACAATGTAGTTGATCATTTTAAACATACGCAAATAAAATTACATATTTTAGTCCAAAAAAATTTTAAATAGTGAGAATATTATTAAATTTAATAATATATAGATAAATTATTTTGTCTCTAAAATTTAACGTAATCAATATTAATATGAAATAATACAGATGTAGAAGGTGCCGTGCACTTTTATCTCATTTTTCTAATTTCCACCAGCATAATTTATTTCAAATTCCATGCAAGTGTATAAAGTTATTCTATCTTCTTCATCAATCCTCCAGCCTATAAAAAGATGATAAGCACTTTGGAAAGGACGTTTATGCCCAAAGATCAAAGGAAAATGACATATAAAGAAGCTTGAAAATGTAAAATGTCAATTTGAGAAGTTAAGAAAATGTAATGACAGAGAAGAAAGTCCTTCTTAAATTAAAATTTTAAAATTCAGTAAAATGACAAAAATACCTTTATCTTTTTTTTAAAAAAAAACCCCAGTCCCTCACCGATAGCCAGCGCCCCCCACCGATGCCGGCCATCAGTGTGGTGGCTGCTGGTGAAGCATTTTTGTCACAATGTTTTTTTTTTTTAACATGGGAGAATATGGTTCAAAGCGGCGGGGTGGGATTTATCCCACAACTCCTTGGCCATTTGCGCCAACAAAAAGGAAGATGACCATTGGGGCCATCAAATATTTTTTAACCTTATGATGCAAACAAAAATATAAGTTGACACTAACAGGGATTGGGTCTAGTAAAAGGAGCTAGTCTCCTACAACGTGGTGAGCCAAGGTTCAAATCCCTGCTAGGAGAGGTGCCCACATTTAGTGCCCGACAGTGCCTGCCTCAAATAGGATTGCCTCCGATAGGAAGATACCTATACTTTAGCCAAAAAAAAAAATTGCTTCCAATAGGAGAATACCTATGCTTTGGCAAAAAAATAAAAAAAGTTGAGTTTTTTACTATGACTTCATCCTGTGACAACAATTTACCTGAGGATAACAAATCTTAATTAAAAAATAACAAGTCTAAAGTTGATATTAACAAAGCAACTTTTCCTAATACATAACAAGAAATAGCAAGTACATTAATTAAAAATGACCATGATTTATTTGAAAATGACAAGTCTAAACTTGAGATTAACAATATGTCTTTTCCTGATATATAACAAGAAATAACATCTACATTAATTAAAAATGGCCATAATTTATTTGAAAATGATACGTTTTTATTGGAAAATGATAAGTCTAAACTTGATATTAACAAGACAACTTTTCCTAATACATAATAAGAAATAATATGTACATTCCACATAAATTGTTGACATTTTTCACTAAAGACGTGTCATTTCCTCATAAAGACGTGTCATTTTCAAATAAATTATAGTTATTTTTAATTAATGTACATGTTATTTCTTGTTATGCATCAAGAAAAGACATATTGTTAATCTTAAGTTTAGACTTGTTATTTTCTAGTAAAAACGTATCATTTTCAAATAAATTATAGTTATTTTTTATTAATGTACATGCTACTTTTTGTTATGTATCAGGAAAGTTGTTTTGTTAATATTAAATTTAGACATGTTATTTCTCAATTAAGACTTGTCGTTCTCAGGTAAATTGTTATCATGAGCTGAAATCATAGTAAAAGAGTCAACTTATATTTTTATTTGCATTATAAGATTAAAAAAATCTTTGATGGGCCAATGGTCATTTTCTTTTTCTTTTTTTTTGCCCTTACGACTAAGGAGTTGTGGGATCAAATCTCGCCCCCGCTACTTTAAACCATATTCTCCCATGTTAAAAGAAAAATATATTGTGATAACAAAATTCACCAGCAGCCACCACACTAGTGGCCGGCAGCGGCCAGTTGCCAGCGGTGGTTGCCGATGAGGAGTTGAGGTTTTTTTTTTTTTGTAAAAAAACAAAAGGTATTTTTTTTATTTCACCGAATTTCAAAATTTTAATTGGGAAAAACTTCCTTCTCTATTATTACATTTCTTTGGCTTCCTAAATTGACATTTCACTTTTTCAAACTTCTTTATGTGTCATTTTCCCAAGATCAAACTTATAAATCTTTTATTCACAAGGATCATTAATAGCAAATATTCATTGTTTTCATTTATAAATTGACGTTGTTAGAGTAATGAATGATGTTAGATACATTTTTAGTTGTAAATTAACATTATGTAAATGGTAAATATTCGCAATTTAGTTAATAAATTACGCTACGTGAGTAATAAATTTGAGAATTCTTTTAATAATTAACCCGTGAATTGAGTCTTTTGGTGTAATTCTCCCAATACTTATTTTCTAAGCCACCCACATGACATAGGCTGGTAAACCTTTTGTTCCAAATACCCTTTTTTTCAAAAAAGATTTTGATCAGATTCACCAGTTATTAGTTAACAAATAATAATAATGAATACTCAGATTAATAAGTACTTATGCTGGTCCTAAATATAAAACTATTTTTATATTGTAATTTTACAGTATAAAAATAGTTTTATATTACAGTATAAAAATAGTTTTATATTTAGGACCAGAAGAGTATATAATAAAATTTCACAAATTGCAGGAAACAATCATATTCAAAACCAGAAATTCTGTTAATTAATTATCTAGTGTTAAGATGTAACAACTAAAATCTCATTTAATTCTCACTCCTTACAAACACACCAAAATGCTCAGTTTCCAATGAAATTATTATTATTTTTTTGGTTGCTGAGGCCTTCTGGTCCAATTATATTAAGCATTGTTTTAAATTTTTAATTGTGAAATTGTGAGTTAATATAATACTAGTAGTAGTAGATGCCTAAATTACTTATATTAGATGAAATATTAAAAAAACTGTTTTTTCCGTTAATTCTGCTTTGTTATCGTTCCATTACATTACGATTACAATGACATAATCTGTCAAATATCATGCTTGAAAAAAGCCATTTATTAATTTAACACAGCGCGTGGCCCCACTGTCGTTGTTGCTCCCAGTAACTCGTTGCTTAGCGATCCCTTCGCGGGAAGGTGGCTAAGAGGCAAACCTCCGTATGATCAGGAACCGGTGGACACCGTTAAATACTGAAAGCAATTTCCCGGTTGTTCCGGTCACTGGATCTCCTTTTTCCGCCGCAGTAACTCATCCTACACCATCTGGCGCCGCCCCTCCACTTCTTCTGTGCATTCTGTAACCGGTTGATCTCGGTCAGTCTATTTTAGAAAGAGAATATGCATGTCCCCAAAAATTATTAATTTTCTCAAAGAGAGAGAGAGAGAGAAGAAACAATGCGAGAAAAAGGGAATGAGACCGCCAGCAATTTCTAGACAGAGAAAGTGATTGGATTTTATTTTATTATTATTATTATTGATATTGATTTTTTTTTCCCCTGCTCTGGGTTTGTGAGTGTGAATTTGGTTGTATCCTTTCTGTTTTCTCTCTTCGACCTCTTCTTCTATTCTGTGAGGTTCTGTTCTGTGTGAGAAAGATAGAAGGAGGGAAACCTAGAAAATTTTTCGCCTGACCATTGCTGCTCCTCATGATTAACATATAGTTTTATTTGATGAAGGTGTCGAGGATCTGACCTAGGGTTTTCATATATACTGTGGATATAATTGAAGGCAGGGGACGGTTTGAAGGGTTTGGAATCCGACGTGAATAAAAATGTTGATTCGTAATGCGATATTGCGGGAATTATAGTTTTGATCTTGCGGAATTGCGCGAATCTTCGAGTTTAAGCAATGGATGTCGATTCCTCGATGGTGTCGGAAACCGATCAGGATCCAGTTTTGCAGAATAACAACACAGCTCAGCCTTCTGCGGCAATGGAAAGGGAGCAGCTTGAAGAGCAGCCGGCGTCAGCCGGCGGATCTCCATCGACTACCCAGTCACCGGTGCAGCAGCAGCAGCAGCAGGTGTCTTCTCAGGGGCAGCAGAGTTCTGTTATTGGACCTAGGCTCGCGCCAACTTACTCCGTGGTGAATGCAATAATTGAAAAGAAGGAGGACGGACCAGGGCCTAGGTGTGGCCACACCTTGACGGCCGTCGCAGCTGTTGGAGAGGAAGGTACACCTGGGTACATTGGCCCAAGGCTTATTTTGTTCGGTGGTGCCACTGCACTTGAAGGGAATTCGGCAGCTTCCGGGACTCCTTCTTCGGCAGGAAATGCTGGAATACGTATGTTTTTCTTCTATAAACCATTTTTCATTCTCCGTAACACATATCATTTCTGGTTCCTGGATATATTGTGAAATAGAAGCTGCATATACTTGGTGGCCTCTCATTTAGATTTGGGGATTTTCACTTTGAATGTAGTCTAATAAATTTGTCGCTTGCATCCTTTAGAGCTGAAGTAAATTTAGCTAATATCGTGTGATCTCAATGAGATGCTTCTATTGTTATGTCTATTTATTTGAAATGGGAGAAGGTTTGGGAAACGATGTGAGTGTCTAGGGTTGGGCCCAGCTGTTCGAATGTGAAGACGCCAATTTCATTGCTTAGATAATGGAATAGCAGTTATTCAACAGTTCTGTGGCTTTTAGTTCTATTCTATACTGTGGTCTTTGGTCCTTTTGAACAAACATTTGTTTCCTTCAAAAGTATGATTTAATTTTGCTGATTAGCAGAACCCTGTGACAGTTCATTAGGATGGCTTTGTTGTATTGAATGGAAAGAAATGGGTATGGAAAATATACTATTGAGAATTCCTTTGATTGGATAGCCTATCTGAGGGGTGGGAGATTACAACGACGAGCTTTATCCCACTGTGTGAGAGATTAATATCATTATATTTGCTTGGTAATACTATGAAATAGAATTAAAGTGAATTGGATATTTACTAGATAAATTCAAACATTCTGACTGTTACAAATCTTTCATTTTTTACTGTTGGTAGATAAAATTGGATTTTAATATTTGTCAGTATTCAATGAAGCCTTTCCAATTAATGTTCTTTAACACGAACTATTGACAGTAAATTTCTTTGCAGAAAGGTACTGCCCCAGTAGTAGGGGGCATTAATTCTGATTGCAATGACAATTCAAGTGGCACTATATTGATTGTTTGTATAAAAGCAATCCTATCTTCACATTAAGCAGTCGTGTTTGAACTTCAATGTGCTGTTACTTCAAAGCTGCCAATACATGCTGACTTCTATTGTAATGGGATAAACTTGCTCCCTTCTATATATCTACCTGTTTGTGCGTGTGTAGCTCCCAGCAATCCAAAGCATCCTAATAATTTTTTGGACTGTGTTTTCCATGTTGCGTTAGGTTCTTTGATTACAGTTTATGAGTCCTTATCATGTTGCATCGCTGGTTTCAGTAGAACGAAAGCCAATGAACCCCATTAATTTACTCTAGGATGGTCATACCATCAGTTAATGTTGTGAGCAATATTTGTTCCAAATGACATTGCAAATTAGTGTAACCTGTTGAAGATGACAGTGAGTCCGTTTCCCGCTTTATTTTCTGTGTCATCTTTCAAAAGCTGACGTAATATTTTGCAAGAAGTCCCAGCTAGCCCTGTTGGATGTCGTTTTTATTTAATGTTTCTGATTCGTTTTGGTGTTGGAATCCATGCAACCCCAATATGTTTCAGTAGTTATTCTTGATTTTATAGATATTTGGCATACTCTGCTAATCTGCCTGTAGAGGGTGGTATGAGATGATGATCAACTTTTTTCCTGGTTAAGTAATTAATAGCTGTTGTACTTAAGAGAGACTTTTGTGAAGGACAATGCTTATATAATAGGTTGATGATTTGGATTGATAGAGAAGTCCTACGCTTGAATCATATCATGTTCGTGATTGTTAATTTACTCTGCAGGTCTAGCTGGTGCCACGGCTGATGTCCATTGTTATGACGTCTTAACAAATAAATGGTCCAGGTAAAGTGTAGGACTTGAATAATTTTCTTTCCGGCCTGTTGTATGACTTGAGTATTTGTTTATATTACCTGTCTTCGGTGCTTATAAAGGAGTTCTTACACAGGATAACTCCCTATGGAGAACCTCCAACTCCAAGGGCTGCTCATGTGGCAACTGCTGTGGGAACAATGGTGGTTATTCAGGTAGCATGCAGAAGACGTTATTTAAGTTATCTTAGTTTCTTTCGATCTAGTTTTCTTTTTAATTCCTATCTTACTTCTTAATTGAATTTTCCATTAATAATCAGGGTGGCATCGGTCCTGCTGGCTTGTCAGCAGAAGACCTTCATGTTCTTGACCTCACTCAGCAGCGGCCACGATGGCATAGGTTGGGTTTTGATCTATGTATTATTTTAATTGTGCTTCTATTGGCATTTATCTGATATCTTGGGGTGCTGAACTTTTGTAGGGTTGTTGTTCAAGGTCCTGGACCAGGACCTCGTTATGGACATGTGATGGCTTTGGTGGGGCAGAGATATCTAATGGCTATTGGAGGAAATGATGGTAACAGTCAAATGCAGCTCTTTTTGTGTTGTGTGTTTTAGCTGTTTATTCTCTCGTCTCTTGTTTTTTGTGTAAGTTTAATGGATGTTATATTATTTTTGTGCTTGCTTTCCAGGAAAGAGACCTTTGGCTGATGTATGGGCCTTGGACACAGCTGCCAAGCCTTATGAATGGCGCAAGTTGGAGCCAGAAGGAGAGGGGCCACCGCCATGCATGTATTTTCCTTATCTCCTTTCAACCTAACATTTTGACTCCTTTGTGAACGTGATTTTATTATGAATACAAGAAACCATGTTTATTTTGAAACCTTTGACTTCTTGAATTGATTTTGAAGTATTTTATTTGGGTGATTCCGTTTTCCATATTATTATCTTCCATTCTAGTGAAATTGCATGGTTAGATTAACACACTTTGTTCAGTCATGTTCTGTATTCTAAAAAAGTGACTGACTACCTCCTTTTTGAGTTTACGTGGGTATTACATGCTCAATTTATTTGGTTTTATGGATTTGTTTGTTGTTTAAGCTGGATACTATTTAACACTTTCTAGTTATGTATGATAAGACCATCTAACGATTAGTTATCATGTTGACTTTTATTTTGAATAGGTATGCAACTGCAAGTGCACGCTCTGATGGGCTTCTTTTACTTTGTGGGGGGAGGGATGCCAATAGTGTGGTGAGTTACTCATTTTGAATCAGACATTTTTCTCATTCCCATGTTTTTGTATACCTGGAAATGTTTTCATTAGTTTGTCACTGTCCCCCCACCCCCCCACCCCAATTGAATGGGTTAGCCTGTATAATGGGTTCTTATATTTATCTGTCTCTTGCAGAATTAATTTTCTTTGTTGTATCTTTTACTAGAATGACAAATATATTCTGGCTTGCCCATAAAAAACCCCATTGAATTGCAGGAACTAACATTTATTTTCCATACATGTTAGGATCTATTAATTTTTATTTTAGTGCTTATTTTATATTTTTTAAATAAAGGATCAAAATAAGTAATTCAGTAGTAACTGTTATATTGTTTTGCTGATTGGAGTTGAAATCCAGACTCGACCAAATCACTCAGGCAGTCTAAGACTTCATGCGAAAATTCAATGTTCTTCTGATAGCCGTTTTCAATTTTACATGTGCAGAGTGACTTGTCCCTGTCAAATATTTTTTTGCCTTTATTTTCTGTTTAACATACCTATTTTCATATCAGCAAGCAGTCTCGCACTAAATAGTAGAAATTTATGGTTGCTGTGATTTTTTTTTTTTTTTTTTGGGGGACGCTTCAACTCTTGCAGCCGTTGGCAAGTGCATACGGTCTTGCAAAGCATAGGGATGGCCGATGGGAATGGGCAATTGCCCCTGGTTTTCACCATCTCCGAGATATCAGCATGCAGCTGTAGGGTTCATTTCTTTCATTTTATTCTCTGTTTACTTAGCTGATTATATATTTAAGGATCATAATTCTCTTGTTTCAACGATTTTAGGTATTTGTTAATGCAAGGCTACATGTATCTGGAGGGGCTCTTGGTGGAGGGCGGATGGTAGAAGATTCGTCAAGTGTTGCAGGTAATTGATCGTGGATCCATGGTGTTACTTTTTCAAAATTTCTGGTTGTTGGAAGATGCTTGTGGATTGCAGGCTCTGGTTGCTAATGTTATAATCTAGTATCTATTAGTAATGCCCTTGCTCTCAATCTTCTGCCTCCACTCTCTTGTTTATATTTATTCTCTGTTGAACATTCTGACAGGAAATTTCTTATTAAATGAGATAAAAGAAGAGAAAAACTATTAGCGATAACAAATATTTTGGGTACTTTCATAAATATTGTCTTTTGCTGTGAGGGCGGTATTTTGATGTTTAGTTGATGTTGTAGTCTTTAGTGATTTCTTTCTAACCAAATACCTCTTCTTTTCTTTGCATTTTCTTCCATATTTTTCCCCTTCTCGCTTCTATGTTTGATCTAGTGATGTGCCAATGGATTTTTATATTAATTTTTTAGGGAAAATCATTTATGTTTCTCCTGTTTGTAGTGTTGGATACTGCAGCTGGCGTTTGGTGTGATACAAAATCTGTTGTTACCAGTCCAAGGACAGGACGATACAGTGCGGATGCAGCTGGTGGGGATGCTTCAGTGGAGTTGACCCGGCGTTGTAGGCATGCAGCCGCTGCTGTTGGTGACCTAATTTTTATTTATGGTGGTTTACGTGGTGGTAAGACATAGCTATGAGATTTTGTGGAATTCTCTTGCTGGATTATTATTATTATTATTTGGTCAATGTCATGAGATAGTTTGATTGATTTAGTTCCTGCATTGAAATGACAATTTAGATGTTTACTTTGTGTTGATTACACTTATTGCTTAAAGCTCTTTTCTAGCAACTTTGTTTATATCTCATATTTGATTTTTCTGCTAATTTTGGTTGAATTTGTTTTCGATTTTTGTGTAAGCTTGAAAGAAAAGGGACATTTAAATCTTAGATGTAGTGTGTGCCTTACATTAGTTGGATAGTTACTCTTGTTCAGATGACACGGAATGCTAGTGTCTACAGTCGGAACATGAAAGTCTCTAATCGATGCTACAAGAGTAGGTGGATGGCTACTATCAAGGGATCATTCATTAAGCATAATAGCCATGGCTTTCATGCTGTTGAACACTATGGTTTGACAAATTGTTTCAAATAAAAATCAAGTTTGATTAAACTAACTATGGCACAGCCAATCTGTGTTAAAAATCTGGGAATGCTACTCAGTTAGGTTTAACACCGATTTAATAAGTTATAGTAGGGAATTCCACTAAACTAGTCACTGGGTGGTTTCCTTTACATGCTAAGTCCCACATCGAAAAGTAACATGAAAAATGATAGTACATATGCTTGTGCAATCCTAATTAAGTAGCTTGAGCTATTTTGGTGAAATGAACATGACCAAGAAGAAAGCCCAAACAAAAAGTTAACATGGTACCAGAGTCTAACGGCTGCAACATTGGGGGGACCTTATTAAAAGCAAAAATGACAGACCAAAGGCCTTTCGAGGTTCAAGGTCAAAGAACATGAGCAAATATCTTTTTTTTTTTTTTTCTTTTTTGGGAAAAAAAAAGTAGCCAGCATTGGAATGTTGGAGAATACCTCACATGTAAGAGTGTAATAAGAAAGATGAAGGGTGTACAATGTTGTGGCAATCCTAATCAAGTAGCACAAGCTATTCTGGCTATGTAAGCATGCTCAAGCAGATTCGACAATGCTATTAGCTTGTTTTCATTTTTCCCCTTGTGTTTATCTGAGAGGATCTCTTTTGTCTTTATTCTTTAAATTCACCTTATTGCCTTTATTATTAGTAAATACTTGTCCATCTTTCATGCTGAGATCTTTGGTCATAGGCAGGATTTTGAAAATGAATGCTTTTAGTTAGTTTTCTGGAATATAGTACTTCCCTTGAAATTAAATTTGTTATAAGTATTCTTACTATGCATGAGCTGGGCTGATGACAATGAGTTGTTTATCCTGCAGGAGTTTTGCTGGATGACCTCCTTGTTGCTGAAGATCTTGCTGCTGCTGAAACCACAACTGCTGCTTCACATGCAGCCGCAGCTGCTGCAACTAATTTACAACCAGGGTGCATGCCTGGACGATATGGGTTTGATGATAGATCAAGGCAAACAATGCCTGAAGCGGCTGCTGATGGGGCAGTTGTTCTGGGCAATCCCGTTGCTCCCCCTATAAATGGTGACATGTATACTGATATTAGCACTGAAAATGCCATGTTACAGGGATCAAGGTAAGATACTTGTCATTGAGATTGTATTTTAGCAATTGATTTTTGTTTGTTTGGATTTGTCATGTATTGGAAGAACTTTTAACAGGCGAACTAGCAAAGGTGTTGAATATCTAGTTGAAGCATCAGCTGCTGAAGCTGAAGCTATCAGTGCCACATTGGCTGCTGCTAAGGCACGGCAAGTGAATGGTGAAGTTGATTTGCCTGACAGAGATGGTGGGGCTGAGGCTACTCCAAGTGGGAAGCCTATATCTTCTTTGATTAAGCCTGATTCTGCAGTATCAAATAGTATTACTCCTGGTGGAGTTAGACTGCATCATAGAGCTGTGAGTCACATTTTATTTTCCCAACATGCATGTGAGTTTTTTGTTGAATATTTTAGCACAAATTCTGATATTAGCTAGATTTTTCTTCAGGTGGTTGTTGCTGCTGAGACTGGGGGGGCGTTAGGTGGGATGGTTAGACAGCTTTCCATTGACCAGTTTGAAAATGAAGGCAGGAGGGTCAGTTATGGAACTCCAGAAAATGCAACTGCAGCCAGAAAACTATTAGATAGGCAGATGTCTATTAATAGTGTTCCCAAAAAGGTATGAACTTATGTACATTATTAATTCTATTTTCTTGTCATTGAGGACTGGATTCTACCTGTTATATTACACAATGCTTTTGAAAACTATTGGACTGGGTATTTTCACGACTAGAGCTGTATGCAGACCAGGTTAGCATGTGGATAATATGGGCTTTATCCATGGGCCTGGGAAACTACCCCCTTGATTGATGGGTCTACATTATGTTGGGCTTGGGTCTAAGTCTGACCTTCATTTGCACTTGAACTGGTGTAGCGACACTAGCTTATATTCAGAGCCTCATTCCTGCTATCACCTCTGCCTCTTTGCTTTATCTTTGCTTGTTTTTGTATCTCATGGAGGTTTTCTCGACTTGTCAGGTCATAGCACACCTCTTAAAGCCTCGAGGCTGGAAACCACCAGTTCGCCGGCAATTTTTCTTAGACTGCAATGAAATTGCAGATCTTTGTGATAATGCAGAGCGGATATTTTCAAGTGAACCGAGTGTTTTACAACTTAGGGCACCCATTAAAATATTTGGTGATTTACATGGTCAATTTGGGGATCTTATGCGGCTTTTTGATGAGTATGGTGCACCATCAACTGCTGGTGACATAGCGTAAGTTTCTTTAGTATCACAGATGGTTTCAAACTTGATGCATTCTCGAGCTCTTACTAATTAGTTTATGTTTTGAAATTTACAATAAAAAATTTACATATCATGATCATCTCATGCTCTTCCAAGTATTACTTATATGGCATTTTGTTTTGACAACTAGCAGAAGACAATCTACCTTGGCAATGGTTGTTGTCTTTTCATACTAATCATCCATGAAGGGCCTATAGTTAATATAGAAAATGTCTTATTTGTGGTTTCCGCCCTGAAGGATGTTGCTAGCCAAGGCCATGCAGCAAGCCCCTGCGGGATTTTGTATCTCTTTGATCCTCTAGAAATTTTAATATTTAATGGTCTTTAAGGTTCCTTTTTTTGTTGACATTTTCTTTTAGCCAAAGCATTTTCTCTTGTTAATGGTGCTCTTTGATTGATGATTTTGTGTTACTTAATATTCTTGTTCGAGTATTATAGCAATCGTGATTTAGGTGTTCAATTATCCATGTTGCTAATGTGTATGAATGATTATCAGATATATTGACTATCTATTCCTAGGAGATTATGTTGACCGAGGCCAACACAGCCTGGAAACTATAACCCTTCTGCTTGCCCTGAAGGTATTCTGCCTATTTGGGTTTTCTTTCAGAGCTTTTCTGTGTTTTTTTTTTCCCGGTTGGGTTTGGAAGCCCAAGACTTATGCATACTTGTGTGAACATTGCAGGTTGAGTATCCAAACAATGTGCATTTAATACGTGGGAACCATGAAGCAGCAGATATTAATGCCCTTTTTGGTTTCCGGATTGAGTGCATTGAAAGGATGGTAAGGAATGTTATGTATTATTTCTACTGAACAAGCTTCCAAAGCTTTTTCTTGCTATCATGTTAATCAAGAATCTGGTTCAACTTGTTGATCAGGGTGAGAGAGATGGAATTTGGGCATGGCATCGTATAAACCGGTTGTTTAATTGGCTTCCTCTAGCTGCTCTGATTGAGAAAAAAATTATTTGCATGCACGGGGGTATTGGCCGTTCGATTAATCATGTGGAACAGATTGAGAACATTCAGCGTCCAATTACAATGGAAGCAGGGTCAATTGTGCTCATGGATTTGTTGTGGTTAGTGCATCCGTTTACTATCTGTATTCCTGTGTGCAAATGTTCTCTGTCCTTTCAGAAAAGTGACTGTGAGATGTTTCTCCCTAGGTCTGATCCTACAGAGAATGACAGTGTGGAAGGTCTACGACCCAATGCTAGAGGTCCAGGGTTGGTTACTTTTGGGGTGAGTGTTGATTACCTGTTACTTTGAATCGTGTGAACATTCCATGAAGTAGCCAACGGTTATCTTCCCCACCTTTTGTGCACATGGAAAGCAGCGTAAATCAGGACTATCATTTTCAACGGAATTCATCGTTTTCCACAAGTGCTTTGTTTTATATTTGAGAAATTAATAAATACAATCATGGACCTTTTGTCTTACATTTGTTAGAGATAAAATCGTAGAATTCAAGCCGCTTGTTTATTTTGCTTTGTTTTTAGCAGAGTACCGAATGACTCAGCAATAAATACGTTTGACATGATTAATACCTCTTACCACATTGATACTTCGGTGTATACTAGAATTTGATAAATTTGTTTTCATGTAATAATTTTTCCTTTATACTTCAAGTCAATATTGATTTGCTGCTGCTGCTGGATTTTCAAGTCCTCTTGAAATTTTTATCAATTTTTGAAACTTCTGCAAGTTTCATCTGCAGCTATCACTTAATTGAAAGCTATATATTATGTAGAGTTAAATTTGAAAAGATGATAAATCTGATTTTATGTCATTTATTAGCGATTAAAGCAACTGTAATGCATCTTTCCTCTTATTTTTCCACTTCCCCTTTCCTGATATTATAGTGTTTGAGATAATTGTTTTCTATATTTACTGGTTTGGGAATTTACTTAACTATAAGCATTTGTACTTGGTTGGTTTTGTATATACTCTTTAAATTCTCTGTATATAAACTTGTGCTGCTTTGGGTTCTTTTTCATGTTTGCTATAATGCTCATAGAAGTGAGGTTTGCTATTGCAGCCTGACCGTGTCATGGAATTCTGCAACAACAATGATCTTCAGCTGATTGTCCGTGCACACGAATGTGTCATGGATGGTTTTGAGCGCTTTGCTCAGGGACATCTTATAACACTTTTCTCAGCCACAAACTACTGCGGTATGTTTCTGGCTGCTACCAGCGCACAGCTCTTTCCACATTGGATTATTTGCCCACTAAATTTTAGAACTTCTTTGTTCTAATAGGTACTGCCAATAATGCCGGGGCAATACTAGTTTTGGGTAGAGATCTTGTTGTGGTTCCTAAACTGATTCATCCATTGCCCCCTGCAATTTCTTCCCCGGAAGCATCACCAGAACGTCATATTGAAGATACATGGATGCAGGTACAGGAAGATTTTTCGCATCCTCTTGGAAGCGGAGTATTACAGTATTTCGACTTCACAAAGTTTCACGTTGCTGCTATGTACTCTATTTGTTGTATGGTATTAAGTTCTGGATTTCATTATTTATATGGACAGGAGTTGAATGCTAACAGACCGCCAACACCAACTAGAGGCCGACCTCCAGTGGCAAATGACCGAGGTTCTCTTGCTTGGATATAATGATCGATAAGATTGTCCCTAATACTTATGCATTGCTGGCTTGTGCTATCGCCTGGTTCTCTGGTGTTCTGTATATATCATGATGCCACTATGGGGGCTTGCGAACTTGTACTCTCAATTCCTGCCGAAAGCTCAAACGCTTTCATAATTTTGGTTTTCACCTTTAAATCCGCAGTCCCTGTGAGCAAGATACAAGTTCCAGATGCAGGTTGATAGCTGCAGCTAGGCTTACTTTGACAAGCTAGAAGTTGGAGTCGGGGCTCACCCCCACCCCCTTGTAAATTGAGCCATAGGCAAAGTCAAGGTCACGGTTGTTTCTCATGGTTTGGTAGTTCTGGCTATTTTTGTCATTTATTTTTACATATTTTTTCCCTCGTCCTTAGGCTATTGTTGTTATTAATTTTTTTTTTTTTAATTTTTCCCTTCAAGAGGACAGGAGAGCTTTTTTATGTCATGGTGAGATATACAAATCAAAAATCATGGGGGGTCCATTATTCATGTATCATAAAGGTGCTGCTTTGTGTAATTCTCGTCCTTGCTGTGTACGATTATTGTGTGAATTAACATATTCTGACGGAGGATGTGAATTTTGATCAATAGAATTTTATATTGTATGCTTAAGGGCGAGGGTTGCCAATTTGTTGATTTGATTGTCTTTTGGCGCCAAATGATACGGACCAACAAAATAGAGGAATGAAATGTTTACAAATAAAGGAAAATATCCCATGAAGAGTCTTGCCGGCTTCTGATTCGTGGCTATTCAAGCGTTTGCTTGAAATGACTTATGAACAATTTTTAAATTATGTTCTATGAAATACAAAAAAAAAAAATTGAGGAGAGTTTTATGAAAATATTTACATATACATTTGCAAGTTCAAATAAGTCCTTGTGTCAATATATATGTGTAAATTGCGTTTTTTGTTTCAGTGAGAGAATTGCATTTTGTTTAATTTCGTGAAGACACAACACAACATGACGCCTTTTTCTCTAATTCATAACGCCCACCACCTCCATATATTTTCGAGACAAGGTCCTAATATCCCAACTGCCAAATCTGATATTGTTCTCGGGGATCAACTTTTGAGTTTTGATAGCTGCATTTGTCCAGAAAAACGCAACAGCCTTTGAGGCTTTGCGCAAGTAACACGATACCCCGTCAATATAGCGGCGTTCGCTCACGTGTCACAGTACTCGAGTCATAAAGTGAGTTGTTTCTGGACAACAGGCCCAACATGTCATAGAAAATTTAGCATAGTTTTATGTTGGCTGTTGAAAGCTTAACGCAACCCTATGTGTTTGGGACCTATTATAACACGTAAGGGGAGTTAAAATCATATCATCCAATAAAATATCTCTATAACATTATAATATCTTTTTTGAAAAAAATTATACATGATTTTCTATATAAAATTGATAATAAAAACATTAATAAAATATCCAAACCTGCTCCACAATATAAGTTTGTTCTATAAAAGTTTCTTGATCTAGAATATCCAAACAATGGGGTTAATGTTTAAATGCAGTTTTATACAATTTTTTTTCCTTTACAACATTTAATGAGTAAAGTTAAAAGGAAAAAAATCAGTTTGAAAAATTATATACTACCTCTCGCCCTTAATACAAAAGCTAATTTAATTCTAGATATAAGATCCCAATTCAATTTGTCTCTTATATTTATTTATTTTTTAAGACAGTCTTTATAATAATGACACGTATTAAATATTTCATTAAATGATAATTCTAGTTAATATATATGATTAACAATAATATTTTTTAAAAAAATTATTTGTTATAAATAATTAATATCTTTCAATTAGCCTGGTATACTCCTCCAGTCCTTAATATGGGACCCAATTATTGAGTTGGTTTTGGTCCTAAATATAAGACCCATTTTTTATATTTATCAATTTTTCTAAATTACCCCTATAGATACTCTCTCAACTATAATCAAGTAGAAAAGAAAGAAGAGGTATTAAGAAAGAAGATTATGGTATTTTTGAAAAAACGTGTCACATTTCTTATAATTAACTAACTTACCTAACTTTCTTAATCTAATCAAATTAATTAAATGTATCTTACATTAAGGACCGGAGGAGTATTAAAAATTGGAGGTAATAATTGGGTAACATTGGAGTGGTCACCCACCCATGGCTCGGTTGAGAAGGCTGCAATAATGTATTTTCGGTTGAAGTGGATGGTGATGTCACTGTCCCTTCCATCATTGTTTAATCATGTAATCGTAAAATGATTGCCATGGTGCTCAGTACACACGCTGTCATACTTTCCTTCCTTCTAGATTAACGCAGACATCACTCCGTATTAAATCAGTACTGTAACACCAAAAAAAGGAAAGGTTAATAAACGCTAGTATTTATCAATTAAGAGATGCACGGAAATAATATCCAGTACAACCCTCTCTCTCTGTTCATATTCTCTGGGGATTTTTTTTTAGCAACAGCCCAGACTAAGCTGGATTCGGTAAGGGAGAGACCTTGGCCTCTTGCGCTACTGTATTCCCATGCTTTGAACTTGAAACCCGTGATTAAATTAGAACAATTCTGATCTGTTGATCTAGGCGCTGGAGGTTGTTATTGGTTATACGTAGCAGCAGTCACTGTCTAAGGTTAGGGCTGAAGCAAGCAAAGCAAAACATATCAAGAGGTAGATCGTCATGTTTCCCAAAAACAAGACCATAAAATGTAGACGTGACCCGATTTGGAGCCCCATTGGCTCTCTTCACATAAAACCTTCCAAATTCAAAAGCAGGCCTCCTTCATCATTCTCCCCCGGACAACACGGTCCACCCAAGTCAAACACGAGCTCACCCCCATTTTGAAATTTTGAACCGTGTTTCCCCCCTTTTCTGTTTCTTCCTTTTATTCCAATGAAAAGAGTTCTGGGCATTCAGTACCTCAAATCTAACTCAATTAGCCGCATGGAAAAATAAAATACATCATACAACAAATATTACATAATCTTTTGTTTTAAAATTAATAAATAAACAACCTGATATGAACACTTGTTACGGGATGAATTTTCAACAACTTTGATAAATATCACAAGAGTTGCATAAATAACAAAGCGTGAGGACAAGACAAGCCATCCGAAAGCCTTCCCACTTCGCAGTGGGAAGGCGCTCTGGATCGCCTTCTTGGAAAAAATGTTCAAAATTTTATAGCCAAGCTCTTCATCCATAGCAAGAGCAATCAGAAAAAAAGCAAGACGAATTCACAAATATAAATACATATCACATCAATATCATATATAAATATGACACTGTTCAAGTCATTTCCTTGATCTGGCAAATTAGAAGTAATTCTCTCTCTCTCTCTCTCTCTCTCTCTATATCCTTCTCCATATCTTTTATTTGATGACTTCTCCCAGAAAGAGCGGAACTGGGTTGGGAGAAACGGATGGAGTAATTAATAATTTGAGCAAATGGATTTTGTGGATTAGCTGTGGGGCCACAAGGCGTATGGGATTGTGAATTGTCTAATTGTTATGTGACTCAGGATGTTGCAACCAAATGTGGTTCCCAGAATAGAAAGGATCTTCTAGACTCCTTGCAACTCCTCCAATTGTGAACCATGTAATCACCATTTTTGCCTCTCAGAACCAGCAATTTCTGTTGCTCCTGAGGTGTTTGATTAATTGCCTCAGAGACTATACGCTTGCAACTGTTCTTCAGTGGTGAGCTATTCTGGGGATGATTTGTGGATTTGGCTCTCCAGAAGTATTCATAACGATTGAAAGATGGTACCGCAGAAGTTGCCCCAGCTGGCGCTGATGGGACCGATCGAGCCGCCCTTGGCCTTGGTGGAAGTGATGATTTCGCGCCAGTGGTACTTTTCTCCACAACCTTAACATCCTCCGAATTCACCACCTCGTTCAACTTCTCCGACCACTTTGGGTTCCTATTCACAAACCCAATTGGCTTGTTCATAGTCAATCCTAACCTATGCACACTTTCAACTCCACTAGATAATATTGGTGCTTGTTCTATCTCCCTTTTGTCGATCTCTTCCTCCTCTTTTTCCTCATCGTCATCCTCCTCATGTTCATTCTCTTCTTCAGCATCATCCTTAAACTCCCCAAACTCTTGTTCCATCTCTTCTACGTCCACATGGTATTCTTCTTCTTCATCGTCATCTTCATCGTGCTGGAATTCTTCGTTGGTGGCAAGATTATTGAAAGTGAGGAGAAGGCGACCATCTTGGCGATGAGCACAGAAGTTGTTCTGAGAAGGAACGGACACAGCTTCGAGGACAAGCCTTCCATTTTCACGGCGGGACCTCATGTGAACAGAGGGTCCATCTTGGCGAGTTAGAGAAGGAAGGGGAGGGGGGAAAGAACGAGGACCAGCTTTCTTGGAAGTCGCAGAGTAATTGAATTTTGGCACAACGAAGTCCTCCTCTGGCTCACGTTGTTCTTGGAGTGCCTCTTTCTCTGATTCTTCTTCTTCATCGTCGTTATCTTCCTCTGTTTCTCCGGTCTCAGATGACGGGTATGAAGAGAACCCATCGGACCCTGTTTCGGATCCGAGGCTCTCTGTGCAAATCTGGAGGCTTTTCTCACTCAGAGAGCTTTGTGATCTTTTCACAAGTGGGTGAATATAAGGAGGAGGCAGGGATGATTTGGAGGCATCCTCGTTGGTTTTCTGGGATACAATGGAGCTCCAGATGTCAAACGCTCCGGGCTTCTCACTCTCCTTGTTTTTGTCTTTTCGGATTGTGCTCCCAATACTTTCAGCCTCCAGATCTTTCCTTTCTTCGCAGTCATCCGATGAGTCTGATTCAGACGAGGAGCACGAGTCAGCAGCAGAAGCAGCAACGATGGTTTCTGAATGTGAGAGCCTCTGGGATGAAACAGTCTTCTTCATGGGAGAGAAGAACCCATTTTGAGAGAGCCATTTCTTAGAGGACATGTCTGCGGATAGAGTGCGTCGCAGGGAAGGAGAAGATGAAGCTCTGTTCCTCTCATAGTCAGAGCTCAGAATAGTGACTATGCCCTGCTTCTGCGCGAGCCTAGTCTCGCCCGCCATCCCCGAGACAAGGACATTAAACCTTGAGCTGACATCTCCAATAACTCAAAGGAGAAGTACACGCAACTACTTGTCTGCAAACAAAAAAGACGAAAACTTGATCAGAAAAACGCCAAAATAGAACAGAAAACAAGAAACCCAAGAAGCAGGTGAGCAAAAAGCTTCGAAATTTGAAGGGGTTTTCATTTACCTTAGAGGGGGCAACAAGCATCCAACAGAGGTCTTCTGAGAGACCACTGTGAGTGCGAGTTGCAGAGGAAAGGAAGAAGGAAGATGATGAGGCTGATGTGGTTGTTTGGAATGGCTGCCGATGATGATGATCGTGGAGGGGAGGGAAGAGGGGCTATTTGTAGGTGGAGGAAAAGGCTTACAGAACCGGGTTCAGTGGGACCCCCGACTACGCCACCGTAAAAAGACGCCTTTTTATATACCATTCTGTTTTTATATAAATAAGTACATAAAAGTTATTTGTATTCCATTCTCACATACTCGGGAAAAAAAAATGTATCACCTCCAGTCGTATTAAAGAAACGCTATCTCTTATTTATTTTTTTGCTATATTTAATAAGAATAAAATTAAAAAATCATTGATTATTATTATTCTACAAATAGCTTGTATTTAATAAACGGCTTATTATAGAAAAATAGATAGTGTCCTGTTGTTTTCCCCCGTTATCACCAAGAGAGTTTTTTTATCCCCCTCATCACCAAGAGTTTTAAGTTTAAGTTCGGTAAAACAGGGCTTAGATTTGAGGTGCGGAGCCTCATATGTCGGTTCGAGCATCTCTTTCCAAATTCTTGCTTCTGTTCATATGCCATCTTCACTGTCTTTGCCATTCAATAATGGTCTCTGTGGCTCGGATTTGACCCAAGTTGGCCAACACAACACTATACTATGTCAGATTTTTATCCCAAGCGTTCAACTTTTTCATTCCAACTAGTCTGTACTTGCGTTTCAAATAAAGAGCTGTGTTACGGCGATCACAAATTACGTCTAATATTGACAAAGTCTGGGTGCTCAATAACTAATTGCGCGTGCTTTTGTTCATTGATCATTGGTTAACATGCAAAATCGCTTTCATTAAGTTGGCCGCCCATCTGTTTTTTCTTCAGCTTTTATTTGTAGTAACTTTGAAAACTTTTGGAGATATTAAAAACATAGCTAATGATCTTCTTGCTTAGTGACATGAGCATGTCTTTAAATTGATAATGGGAGGGAAAAGGCGTGAAAAAGAGTGACAGGTAGAGGAAGCACTAGAGAGACAGACCATGACAGGCTCTGGTGAGGTCAAGAGCACCCTACAATTACTCAAAGGGACAAAAACGCTGATTAACACTCCATCCAAATAATAAGTAATGTATTCAATTTAGGTCAAAAAAAATGTCTTAAGAAGAAAGCAAAGGAATCAACTTTGGGAAGACCAATGTGACTTGTTAGGTTAAATCTCACAAGTTATGATTATAATCATCCATACAAAATAAAACTGTGCTTTCATTTTCTTATTGTTTTTGGAAAGTCATATGACGTACTAAAAGGGGTTATATGCTTCTATCCATTATATTAAAAAATAACATTAGCCCTCCAAGGAGAATCCCCTACACACACACTTGTAGATGGAGATGAGTTTGTGTGTAGAATTTATTTATATAAAAATGAGAAGGGAATAATAAGGTGCGTGTGGAAACAAAAGGGCTAGCGTCAGGGGTTGATCTTTTAGGGATCCTCTTTGGACTGAAGGCTGACTTGAATTGTCCCACAGCTGTGTGTGTGTTTTGAAAATGACTGTGAATGAAAGAGTATAAAAGGCATGTGGCCTCTGCATTTATGGGGGATGATGAGGCTTTTTTTTTTTGGGTTACAGGGGATGAGGCATTTTGTCCATCACTTATATACCCACCTCAAAAGTTCCTGACGTCGATCATCTCTCACTCCATTTTCCACAATAATCATCTATTTTCTCATTTCCGTGCCTGTTTCCTAATTTATCACATCATCAGCCTGAATTGCTCATCATTTTAATTTAATTTTATTAATTTTTCACTTTTTCATATAAATTTCATCAATATATTGATTTTTATGTGAATAAATATGGCTACAGTCGAGTAAACTACTCTCTTTTGAACTATAAGAGCGATATAATATAATAATCGCTGCTAAAAATAAAATAAATGGAAAAAGAATTGTATAATTAAGTCATCTCTTAAAGGGAGGCTTAATTTGAATAATAATAATATGAGGTAGAAAGCTAGTGGTAGGCCTTGCCATCAGGCTGATCACAGAACTAGATGCGCCTTGTCTGCCTACAAACTATTAAACAATGCTAACTAGCTAGACCTCCAAGCAATGCTCTGTTTTTATTTTTTCAAAAGAACAAAATTGTTTACTGTGATGTCTCTTTCGTGACTATTCATTTAAACCAAATGGTCGACCCTCCGTCACAAGTCTAATTTTCAAGTGTTAAAATTTTTTCCCCTTTTGTATAAATTAGGGGGGGAAAACTGAAAAAGTTGTGTGGGTGTGTGGGATGTGATTCATGTCATGGCTTTTTTTTTTTTGGTTTTTTTTAGTTTTTGCTCCACCAAGGCATTCCATTAAGCTTCTGAGATTATTTTTAAAAAAAATTAGTTTTGAGTATACATGATGAATTTATTTGTATTATATCATATACTGTATAATGCTTGAAATAATCAATAATACAGTATCAGATTACAAAATAGTGATATTTTTCTTGTTACGTTTTATTTACTTATCTCACAAAGTGTTGCATCCAATTAATATTATCCTTAGTCTCTCGCAGCTCTATGCATCTTCTTGCTTGTGGTTGCTATAGCATTTCTTTTCCATCGATGAAATTCAAATTTGAGAATTGAATTTCTTAACAGAATAACAGACGATAGTTTTATTTATATTTATTTATTTATTTGCGGACACAGAACAGAGACATTAATTAGTTACAAGTTACAATTTTGACTGCAATGGAATGTTAGAGAGATCGAGAATAACTAAATAATAATGTCCGAAAAAAGGAAGGACGATCCTAAAATTGACAGATAAAGATAGTTTGAGTACCAAATTCGGAGGAAGCGGGCATAGTAATCACATCTGGTGGATTTTAATGTTTCAGCATTTTATTGCATCTTCTAAATGCCCTTTTCAATATTATTTCTCATTTCTATTTATTTTACTTTTTCACTTTATAAGAAAAACAAACTAATTAAAGAATCACATTCCATTCATTATTAGGAGGGCTGTCATGCGGCTGGTGAAACTAGCTAGTCAAGATGGTTTTTTTTTCCCCTAAGAAAAAAGTTTTTGTTCTCTCTATATATATATATATATATATATCCAATAAACAAGACTGTGTTGCCCCCCAAGTTTTCTAATATCATTAGTAATGACATCATTATTCGTTTTAGCGACAAACACATGCAAACAGGATGATTAAGCAATATTAATGTATATCTATAAATAGTTTCGATATTCTCGCGTTGTTGCTAGTTAGAGTGAAAATATCAAAACGTAAAATCTATAGTTAGAAAATTAATTCTGATATCTTCGGGGCCAGCTTCATATTGCGACATTTCTTGGGCAAAGTTTGAGATAACTGGGTGAGAAACAGTAAGATTATTTCGTTATTTACCGTAAACTCGCCAAAGGTTATGGAACAAAGAAAATTCACTTATTGGCTATTTTAAAATAAAAAAATTGTTAAAACAGAACAAACTTCTCGTTGCAAAAATTATTGCTAAAGATGAACTCAATTTTTGAACAAGTGCAACTTATCTTCAACAAGTGTGACTTTCTTTAACTATGTAAGACGTATTATAAGTAAATGTTTTTCGCTTACACATAGTCAAAAATATGTTGAACACGACAAAACAAAAACTGCACCCATTGAAGAAAGGCTGTATCTAAATCGTTAAACAAATTTTAAACGTTTTTTGACAATATATTTTACAAGAAGAAATTTAGCAATTGTTTTGGTTACGGATGGTTAAGAAATAAATTCACGTACCTTCCTTTTTCCTTTCATTTTTTATTAATTTTTCCTCCTTTTTAAAAGCGATGTGACGCTTTATCGGAGAATTTCTGCTGAATTTCGAATGTCATAAAAAAAAATGCGGCTAGTGCAAAACGAATAATCAATAGTTGGATTAGTTAGATTCCAAAAGCATGTTCGATTGCTGAAAATTACGGGCTTCATAAGGAAAAAAGAATATAATAGAGAAAAAATAAAAAAAAAATATTGAAGCCTACAAATTTATTTAGTACATATCAATTGATTTTTTCAATCATGAGGATAAAAGGGAAACAATATAACAGAAAGGGAGAATACTTATATCAAGTTACTTACATCTATAGTATGTCAAGTTTTTCTATCATATATAGTCATGTATCTTAATTTTGAAACAATAGCATTCATAGTATTTAATTATAAATTCATATGAAACATAAAAGGACATATGGCCATATATGATTAAAAAACTTAACATAATAAATATAAGAAATTTGACCTAGGTTTTTTTCAATAGAAAATCCTTAGTCCTCTCGTGAAAATGCTATATTTTCTGTAAAGAGTAAAGACCCGCGATTACATGCTCAATTCATTGTATTTTTATACTATAGGACTTTGAGTTCATATTTTATGAGTTCTAAGGTAAACAGCACAGTTATTATCTTATTAATAGTAGTTTTCTATAAATTCTAATTTATACTAGTATATAGAGATCTGCTGAAGAGATTAATACTCACACTAGCTAAAAACTGAGTGAGACAATTGAATATTCAATATAAATTTGGGAACTGCAAAAATCACATTTTAAGAAAACTACTCAACAGGCCCAAATTAATCTGGATTTGAGAAATGACAGAAACCATTGAGATTTTTGCCTCTAACCCCTAGGGTGTTGTGTTCCCACGTTTAGAACGCAAAACCCGTCATTAAACTAAAACAACTGTTATCAGTTGATCTAACCTATCGGTTAGAAAACGTGTTTCTTTCCATTGAAGTAACAACACTCAGCTTTAGATTGGCCGATAGATGTTGGACTACTATTTAGTCTTTTTTTTTTTATATAGTCATAATGTTTAGTGACTCGAGTTCCTCGTATATATTGTGGCCAGCATTTACCGCCAAATAAAAAAGTTTGAGATTATTTTAAATATATCTCAAAGTCAATGGCTTTTTGGCCTAGCTAGTGACATATAAATCGATCAAATTGTGGAATACAGGACGGAAGAAACTCTTGTGTATGCTTTATTCTTCTTAGCGAGAAAAAAATCTAATAACTAATGCTAATTATAATAATTAAAACTAAGTTTAGAGGT